GAAGGAAGGAAGGAAGGAAGGAAGGAAGGAAGGAAGGAAGGAAGGAAAGAAATTATTGGAACAAGCATAACAAATACATTGCAAGTTTCTTTTCCATATCCTAAGAGGATTTCAATTTATGTTTGCTATGCAAATTACTCTGTGAGAACATTCTTAAACCTCCAATGGCTGCAGAGTTAATACTGAGCATTTGCATGAGCAGTGGGCATTCGCACATGCGCATGAAGGTCCATGTGTGTGAGCAGCAGGCGTGCCCATCTCTCGCACAAATGGAGCTTCACACATGCGCGCAAGTGCCCGCCACTTGCGCAAATTAAACTGTGCGAGCGTGCTCATGTCACTTGTGTGGCCCAGTTCTGAATGGGCTGAATGGAGGTTGGGTATGCCTACTTTACAGGGCATAAGTCCATAGCTTTTATCTGGAATGTAATAGGGATAATCTGTTATTGTCTGTTTGTTTGTCTAAGTATTTTTTTTTTGCCACTGTTGACAGAAGTGTAAATTAAGATTTCATTTGCTGGCATTCGGTGAACATTGGGAAACATCGATTTTCTGTACAATTGGGATTTTTTTTTCACACCAATATAATTGTTCTGAAATATCTAAAAAGAGTTAGAGGAAGTAGAGTGAGAGGAAATAGTATGGCATACTGTTCAAATTATACAAACTGTACAAGGAAATAAAATCAGATTGATCCCACAGTAACAAGTAAGGATGACTGTAACTTTGTATGACTGTAACATTGTATGACTGTAACTTTGTCGCTTGTATCCTTACGATCTATATTGACTATTTCCTAGTATGATTTGATTGCTTATTGTATCCTATGACTATATTAAGTGTCGTACCTGATGATTCTCAACTCTGATGTATTTTTTTTAATGCATACTGAGATTATTTACACCAAAACAAATTCCTTGTGTGTCCAATAAAGTATTCTATTCTATTCAAGATATTTGGTTAAAAAAATAGAGATGATAATTCCTGCTGAGCACTTGTTTAGAAGTAGGCAATACAGAATAATGTGTTCCAACATTTTAATTATTCCTCCTCTTCATGGATACAGTCTCTGTTCAAAGGGGATCTTTTGATATCTCCTTGCAGTAACAGCTGTTGGAAGGACTGAATCTAACTAAGCAAGGTAAAACCCCTTTGAATTTTGGGGTTTTTAGGCAGCTATGATACCTATGTGGTTGGAGAAGATGTGCAGAATGGTTGAAGAAGGTGTTTCTGGGTAGAACAGAAAAATCTGATTGTGACTCTAAGTCAATGGGCTGCTGTTTGAGATGATCTGATGCACATTCATAGTCCATCAAACCATAAGGTTGCATTTTAGCATATAATGCCTGGCACCAGAAAGACTGAAAACTGTTGATCATAATTAAAGGAAACAAGTCAGCTGGAAAAAGGCAAATAGAAAAAGATTAAAATCAGGAAGTTTTGATTTTAAGTAGGCCCGCTTCCTAAGAAAGGAACATGTTTCAGATGCAATGAGCTGCCTGAAAAAAAATGTCCTCTAAACCTTGGGTTGAACTCTTTCCAAAGGAAGCAATCATGTTTAGACACATATCCCCACCTTGTCATCACCTAACTATTATTTGGAATATTCCTATTGCTAAAAATAACAATTTCCAAATGGTAGTCAGTTTCTTCAAAACCACACAACATGAAACAATACATGTTGTCTTCATTGCCTAACCTCTATGAAATGTGACGGAAAGAATTTGGCCTAGAATAAACTCTTCCTAGAACGTATGCTCTCTCTCTCTCTCTCTCTCTCTCTCTCTCTCTCTCTCTCTCTCTCACACACACACACACACACACACACACACACACAGAGAGAGAGAGAGAGAGAGAGGCAGGCTGACTCCACCAAGTATAAACATATCCTCTAAAGGGCCGTGATTTGTTTAGTGTGAGGAGCGAATGTCATAGCCTTCCTAAAACAGTGGTTCTCTCTGGTACTTATCTATAAGGTAAGGAGCAACTACTGGCAAGCCAATCTGTATTCATAAGAAACTTTGCTTCCTTAGGTTACTTCCTTTTGTCCAGATTGATAGTTGTATTTACCAGAGTTTTACCTGGTTATCAATTGATGGATCTAAAAATCCTGTCTTGAAATGGGGTATTCAGGTGTTTGTGTGTCAAATGCTCGTATAGCACTTCAGGGCTAATGTCCACTCTAATTGTGCATAGCCACACACACGTGTGTGTGTGTGTGTGTGTGAAAGTAATTCTCCTTACTGACAGAATTTTCTGTCAGGGGACAGGAAGAAAGATATATATAAATATTGGTCCTGCCTTCTATAGAAAGAGTGAAATCTTTCTAGCCCATACCCAGTAATATTTCACAGTACATCCAACAACATTTTGGTGGGTTTTGGCATGGTTCTCACTTTAATACCCATGAAACAGTGTGGAGATAGAAGGAAATATTGATATATATAGAGGCTTTTTTCAGTATAACTCAGGAAATAGATTAACTTGAAATGTATAAATTCTTTAAAAAAAAAAAAAAAAAACCCATCTCTTCACATTCAGGAACTTACATTTACTGTTCCGGTAGTTCAAAACTGATCAAAAAGGAAATTTGCCACAAAGAAACTTGATTATAACCAATTGTTTTGCTTTTTCATCTACTTGGCGAATATGTTTCCTTCTGGTTTTTTTTTTTTAATCAAAAACGAATCTCCATATGGTAAAACATAATTCTTTTTACTAATTATGCTGGAAGATTTCTACTTTGTAACTTTTTGCATGGGAAGTATAGAATATTTGAAATAACTTTGTGTATTTTTTTTTCTTTTTTAACTTGCAGCAGATTATTTATTTATTTCCCAACTTTGTTACTTTTCTAAGTAACTCAAGGCAGCAAATATACATATTTCTCCTTTCTCCTATTTTTACCACAACAACCCTGTGATGCAGATTGGGCTGAGAGAGAATAACTGGCCCAAAGTTACCCAGGTGCCTTTCTTTCCTCAGACAGACTAGAACTCACAACCGCCTCACTTCTAGTTTAGTGCTTTAAGCACTAGACCAAACGGACTCACTCTGTCACATATCTTAACAAAAACATTCAGTTTTAATTATCTTCTAATATTTTCTGGCTTTCCTTTTGTGACTTGCTGTATTTACCATTACAATTTCCTGTTATTGACAATTATTTTAATCAAAACAGTTCTTGATAGAAACTTGCAAGTTTTAGGAACTACATGTGAAGAATGTGATTGTTATAGTACAGAAACCTAAAATTGCAGTGATGATGTTCCCATTATTTTCCTTTCAAGAACCATAACAATCATTTTCAACATGAAAATTGTAGTAACTAAATTCTTCCTCTATTTAGAATTACTAGTGCATTCACAAATCAATAAACTGACTGGCCAAATATATTTTAATATAGTGTGTTAAAATAACATAGATGTAATTTTAAGATTTATGTCCTGTTGAGAACAGTTTTAGCAAGGGAAAAAGAATCCTAAGTAAGTAAACAGATTTTAAAATTATAAGAAAATAAGGAAAATATATCCTTGATTGAGGTTATTACACATAACTAAGGAAAGAAGGCTAAGCTGATTAATGAAGAATTTACTAGATTCTTAGTTGCCAAATCAAATCATAAGTCAATCATGGCAATTTAGACAACTTAACAATTGAAAATGGCCTACAGTTATGGTTGAAAGAAATCACAGCTACAATTCTAATTATAAATTCAGAGAGAGTTGAATCATAGTTTTGTCAAATCTGCTATGACTATATACTATAAAATAATAAGGTATTCCAATGTTATGCTATCTAAATATTTTGAATGTTGTGAATTTCATGCTGTTCTAATAATATTAGAAACATTTCAAGATTAAACACTGCAATTGGAATCTCCAGAATTTCTGAGACTTTCAGGAGTTGGTATTCCTCTTTGGAATTTAGAGTTGAGAAGAGATATTTGAACTCGTTTTCTGTTCTTTTTTACTGGTCTAAAATGGAGGAAAAGTGAGAGTTGACTGGGGAATTCTGGGACTTTAAGTCCACACATCTTAAAGTTGCTAAGGTTGAGAAACACTACTCTACACAATGGTTGTCCTACGTTTTAGTTCACATTACTTCTGTGTCATGAATTTTATTAAGAACAGACTGGATTCTTAATGTGGGACATTCTGTGCATCTTGAATTTTTAAACTGTTCTTTCCTTTCCTTTACTTGGAACCCAATGAAATTTTGCTGACCCTGATTAAACTGAAAGGAGTTGTTGTCCATTTGCTTTAAAAAAGGGCTGTTATGAGACCAACAAATCTCTCATTCCATTTAATGAGGTTGTTTGTTATTTGTGGCACCAGAATTAATACATACCCCAATTTAACGATGGCAAAAGTACAATTTGGGGAGTTCTTTCTGATTTAATTTAGCAATTTATTCACCGTCTTCTTTTCCCTTGCTACAACAATTCATACTCACACATTTTAGCTGGGCCAGTTTACTTTATTTCCTATTTCTCTGACAATTAGTTTGCAAATAACCTTAAACTGTTGCAATGGAGGCATCACTTGTTTTTGTGTTGCATTTTGCAAGCCAAATCTTCTATA